GTCGTACTTGAAACACAAAATAAAGTAGAAATACTTACTGAAAGACGGCCGTTTCGTCCTGTTATAGGACTCATCGGCAGTGTACATCCACGACTCCTGCACTTTGCAGGATTTGAACTGATGACCTTCGGTCTTGCACTGGCGAACGACTAAGCTTCGAACCACTGAGCCCAGTATCTAACGGTGTTAATGCTTAAATTCGATCAACTCATCGAGTTGCGCAACCTCACACAATGTCTTCGGTAGTGACTGTCTACATCCGAACAGACTGAACTTCACTAGTCACGACTTCTCCCTAAACTCTCGGAAAAGATTCCTCACTAAGCTAGTCACTAGTGAGCACAGGTAATTGCATTACTGGGGGGTTGTGATGATTGTTAAGTTACACATTTTTTCAAATGAAAGATTCTTACATTACTGACTACTCCTCTACAATAAAAATTCTATCACATGACTTCAATACGTAACCTGCGTTACAGTAAGTAGATTGATACATTTTCCAACAACAACAAAAAAATAACTATGTATCATTGAAAAATGAAGCCATACAAAATCAATTGGTTTTGTTTATTGAAAGAAAAAACTACCTTCATTTGCCGGTTTTATTTTTGTTCTGCCTACATGGAGCCGTGAACACATTATACTTCACCTTTTTGCTAAAAAAAAATCCTCTACACTTGCTTATTGGCAAGCCAAGTATACACATTTATCCTTGCATAAACAGATTATGTAATATTAGAGAAATAAAATATCTATATTTTCTTTGGTTATTCTGTAAACGATAAGCCATAAGTAGTAAGGTAATATTGGTTATATTAAGGTCATTAGTACGTTGTATACATTTTTGGAGAGAGAGAGAGAATCTCGACCCTGACATTCAAGCATTCAAGTTATGCATACGCGTAATCTATTTACATTTACTATTTTCTACTGTAGTAACGGAAAAAAATAAGTTATCTATCTGTAAGTTAAACATGATTATTATTTTTATTTTTTTAAAAATCAAACCGCTTTTTTTTGAAAAAAAACTTCAAATTAACGAAAAAAAATGAATTACAACATTACAAGGTTGTGCACATTTTTGAAACTATGAATCAATGATCAATGTTATTAGATCACCATCAGTAGAAACCTGGATGAGGCACTGAAACACGGCCGTTTCATCCTGGTATCGGACTCATCAGTGGTGGTAGTGCGTATCCACTACTCCTGCACCCCGCAGGATTCGAACCCAGAACCACTGAGCTGGCTGGCATCTAACGGCGTTAATGTCTAACTTCGGTCAGTGAATTGATTAAACTTTTATATTTTCTTTTGTCTTTTCTTCGGCGTAGAACATGCGATTTTATTCAGTTTAAACTGAAAATCATAGCATCTACAACTCCTACCAGTTGCAGGGTTCGAACCCAGGACCAAAAGGTCTCGCACCGGCAAGTATAACTTCTAGACCTACATTGAGCCGGCATCCAACGGTGTATACTGTTTAACTCTAATCAATCTAGACATTTAGCTCAACTTCACCCACTATCTTTTTGGTAGGTAACTGCCTACACTCGAAAGGAGTGAACTCCACTGGTCGTGTCTATGATTATAATTTTGTTCACAAATTGAACATTGAACCGAGAAATTGAACGATTGTCTAATTTGATTTTTTGATTATTTTTGTTCTCTTAAATTTCAAATTCAATATTTCAATCATAATAGTAATAATAATGTTGTGCCAAAGAACATGAGACTCCATCTTTTTGAATTCGATCAACACTCTGATTAGATTGATCACAGTTATATATTAAAATTGTTGGATGCCAGCTTAATGGTATATAGGTTCAATGTTCGCGTGCCAAACCGAAGTTTCAGGGTTTTATTCCCGGGGTATCACGGAGGCGCACTTCTGATGGATCCTACCAAGACTAGGACAAAATGGTCGTTCAATGCTTCGAGGTTTTACTTCTAATGCTGCTGGTCTAAAAATGATTGATTTATCGTTTCGACGAAACAACTTATGTTAAAATAATACTCAGACTATTAGTCATATGTACTAAATATGGTTTCACAATATATATATCTTGTTAAATCTGACACCAACATTCATAGTAAGCTGTCATTAATTAGACAAGTAGTGGAAGAATTTAAGCACTCTTCATTTATTTAAACGAGATGTTTTACTAGTTCCATACAGCTTAGTGTTGTTATAAAACAAACTGATTAGAGCTGAAGTTGCAGCAAACTATTTTGAACAATGAATGATTGAACTAATCAGTATATCGTTTAATTTCTGTGTGTACGACCAAAAGTATGTACACTGCAGCTGTTTAAATTTACATGGTATCATGATAAAAATCACGTTAAATATTATGATTATTATTATTACTGAAATGTGGTACAATCATTGTTAGACTATACCACTAGAGTATAGTACGTAACCAAAAATTCCTGCTACTCACAGGATTCCAACCCAGCACCTTCTGTCTTGCACACGAACTTCTAACCTTTGGACCATTGAGCCGGTGTTAATGTCTAACTTTGATCAATCTAGGGATTTTGCGCTACCTCAACCATTTTTGCTTTGGTAATTACCATCTAAATCCGACAGGGTTGAACTACTCCACTGGTTACGTTTTCTCACTAGAACTGCGAGAACTTTCTTAACGAATCTAATCACTAGTGAGAAAGCATACTGTACGAATTTTCAATATAGAGTTATGGAGATCATTGTTTTACATCGAGTTCAAAGATCGGTAATTAACAACAATCTTCATAACTCTATCTAGAAAAATTATTATTTTTATTATCAGTGATAGGTAACTTATACATTGAACACAGTTATTTTTAATCGATAATCGTATCTTCAATACAGAACATTTAGTAATGATTAGTTCTTTCTCGAACTATAGTGAGTCAGTTAGTCAGTTACAATGTAGAACTTTGCACGTAAGTACATCATTGTTCAAGTTACCACATCACATTAGCACACAGAGAGAGGCAATTGTCAATTCAAATCTCATAGTAGTAGAGGTAATAGAAGTATTAGTAGTAATCCTTGAGATTAGGGTTTGAAGATATTATTCAAGAAGTAGAATCTAGTGAAATAAACTTTAAAAATATGAAAGATAAAGGTGATAAGGAATTCACAAAATTTCAATGTAGACACCTGTACTACTACTACTACTACTAGTACTACAAAACTACCTATCTTAATAAGTAGAACTAATCACAGATGATTGTAAATTTTTAATGAATAGGCAACCAGCTTAAATATTTTGAGTCAAAAATTAAAATACCTCAACAATTTACGTCTTTCTGTTTGTTTTAACACGTTAATTTTTGTCTTTTAACCGCACATTCTGTTCAATCGAGTATATAAACAATTTTATGACCTCTCACTTTACAAGATACAATAAAGTACAACACAATACATCATGATGACTGGCAATTCACTAAGAAAAGAATAAACCTTCATCAAAATATCAACACCTAAATTGCTTACTACTGTGGTGCGCGCTACTTATAAGTAGTATGACGCGAGTGTAAAAGTAATGTCTGGCAGCAGAAGATAGGGGGGAAGATCAAGAAAGGAAGAGTGGGAACACAATGGAATTTGTATGAAACGCATGAATAGTGAGTGAAATGTCAGACAATCGATTGATGATGGATTGAAGATTTGCAAATTAACCGTTTACGATATGGTTTTCCTATTTTACTGAGTAACTACTATGTAATTTTCGTTAAATACAATTCGGTTGCCCTCACCTATGTTCTCGTTCACTACACTAATACCAAACATGGATTATTTTGTCAAAAGAGTCCAACTTGTTGAAATCTTAATCCGTGCTAAGAATTTCAATAATTATACAAATAAACATTGAATTTTGAATAAAGCCATGATTATGATTATTGAAAATTGGATTAAATTTATCTTTTCGCTATGAAAAATCAATGAATCAATTTGTTATTTAGTGTAAACTGTAATCAACTAACCTACGTCATTTTATATCGGAAAAGAAAAAAAGATTGAGATTAATTAGGAGGTAAAAAAACAAGAAAACATGGAATAAAATTAGTTCAATGTTCAACGACTTATTTGTGTTGCGTTGTTTTTGCTTTTGTTATTTTTAAACTGATGAGAGTTTCTTATTTAGTCAATGTTCAATTAAAATTTCTTGTTCAATGATCAGTTTGGACAAATAAATTTCGGATTTTTAGTGTACAGACAATTGTAGTGGTTAGTTACATTAAAATATATATATTTTTGACTTTAATAAATCGTTTTGAACAATGGCGTACTTTAGTCGATCTACTCAAAACTAATTAAAAACCCAGAACACCAATTATTGAGGTTAGTGTATATAATTTTAACGATTAATGGAATTATACAGGACACTAGAAAATAAAAGTGAGTTGATGAATAATAACTGAGAAACATGTATATTATGAGTGCTGATCAATACAATGTGGACATTGCACTCAGTCCTACTGACACAAATGTATACACATAATGAACCGAATTAAAGTAGTAGGATAAAGTGTGTCACAAGACAAGCCCTTACTTGGAACCCTTAAGGTCAAAAGGAGAAGAGGAAGGCAAAGGAACACATTACGCTGAGAAATGGAGACACACACATGAGAAGAATGAACAAAAATTGGACAGAGTATGTTGGACATTCCTGATCGGCGGCCCATGCTCCATTAGGGGTAACAGGTGTAAGTAAGTAAGTAAGCTAATAAGTAAGTAAGTAAGTAAGTAAGTAAGTGCATAAGTAAGTAAGTAAATAAGTAAGTAAGTAAGTGCATAAGTAAGTCAGTAAGTAAGTAAGTAAGTAAATAAAGTCGTGTTTTCTCATGTAGTACAAATAAATTGAAAAAGACCTACTATAGATAAGTTTTTACAAAACATGATTTTGAAAAATCTACTTAGTTTAGTCTATAATAACTCCTCTCTTAAAGTATGTTAGATTTTTTTAAAACAATTTTACAAACGCAAAAATAGTAAACAAACTTACTCTAGCCGTTTGATTTAATCCGGTAAATTCAATTTCACCCATATATTTTTGCATTATCGATGGTCTCCTGACACTCGACTGTTGTTGAAGACCACTAGTTGCACCGCCAGTCGACGCAGCCATACTTCCAGTGATATTAACCCCACCAGCCCCGGCATTATCTTGTCCAACTGAACCAGTCCGACTGACACGATGTCTTAATGTCGATGTACGATGAAATGGAATTTGTTCTGTCATGAATTTTCGATATTATTTTTTTCAAAATAAAAAATTTCGTCGCAACAATTCAAATTTTGTAAAATATTTAGTAAATTATTCAATTAACAGAGTAGTAGGAATGATGATCATTGATTGAAAATCGTATCAGTTTTCCTGTTCAACATTCAATTTTATAATAATATTTGTATGTACAATGTTTCTAATGTCAATGTGAATTTTTGCTAATAAAATATATTCATGTTTTAAGGTGTAATTTTCCAAATTGGTGCTTAAGAACTACTACTATTACTACTACTACTACTACTACTGGCTGTAATGTTTCATTGATAAAATTTAAGTATAATAAAAATAATAATCGTAATAATGAAAATAGTAATTCCTTATATTTTGTGGATTGGTGGATTTTTCTTTTCAGTTTATAACTAGTGGTAAAAATTATAGACAAAAATCATCATAACTAATTAAACTCTTCAACATTGAACAAGCGCGCGCGCACACTCACACACACACACATTTGTATCCAATGTAAACTACCATTTTTGTATTTCGACCAATCAGATTGCAATGAAATGATATTCTCTCTTCCCATCAGTTATTCAGGTATATTAAATCAACAGTTAGTAAGTTAGTGAGTGTAGTATCACAAATTATCAATAATTATTCCACTTTTGATCATTGTTATATAGTTGTCGGCATTACAGTGTGATTAGTTTTAATTAGAGAGATTATAGAAATTAAATATGGGCGTCATGTATTGGGGGATAAAATAGAAATAGACATGAATACACAGTTCTCAGACTGCCTTACAACAAAGCTTTTTTACTGTTGGCTAGGTGGTTTTTAAATTTTTAGGATTTTAATAAACATTCTGATGATTAGATTGATTCGAGTTGATCATTAAAACACGGTTGAATGCCATCTCAGTGGTTATTTACAGGTTGAGTGTTTATATGTGAAAACTAAGGAAGTCCTGGGTTCGACTCCCTTCAAAAGTGTTTATGCTGTAGACCACTAAGCCAGTATCTAATAGTTTATATGTCTAAATTTAATTACTTTATAGGTTTACATGGTTATCAGTGTTTACCTCTGAGGATATCTACTTTTTACTGAATGTGGCTAAACTGTATTGGTCAAGAATGCTTTGCAAGCACTCTTGTGATTATGCTTCACAGTTAGTCAATACGTATAGTACGTTATGAAGATCGTTAGACTGAATGTTTTCTATATGGTAAACTAATCTTAGATAGTACTGCGCAGTAGTTCGCTCCGTCTTACTTTATGGCTGTGAAACATAGCCAGTAATAGTAGAAGATATTCATCGGTTATTGGTCTTCGACCATAGGTGTCCTCGAAGCATTGCTCGTATATCCTGCGACACCCGAGTGAGCAACGCTGTTATCAGGGAACGGGTGCTAGGTAAGAATGGCAGATCAATAGATGAAGTAATGAAACTTCATCAGTTGAGGTGGTTGGGACATGTGTTGCGTATGCCCAACCACCGACTGCCTCGAAGAGCTTTGTTTTGTAGTGTAGGAATAGGTTGGAAGAAAGTTAGGGGCGGCCAAATCAAAACATGGCAGAAATCCATGAGGTCATTGACGAGTCGACTTAGCCATGTCGGTAATTGTCGACTACCTGGTTGGGGTCCACAAGATGACAAGAATCGATTTTTAGATACCCTGAATGACATGGCTCAAAATCGTTCGCAATGGCGCTGGTGCATTTATTCTTTGTGTTCTCTCAAATCCTAATCTTCTGGAATCTTCAACACCTCTAGTTTTGTCTTTCTAAAGTTTTCTCACTGAATCATACTTCTTGAATAATATCTTCTAATTCTAACCTCTCCGATTACTTCTAATACCTTTACTACCTCTTCTGCTATTGGACAATTGACATGTCTGACAATTACATCTCTGTGCTGATGTAGTATGGCAACATGAACTGATTTACTTACGTAAAAAGTTCTACGTTGCATCTGACTGACTGACTGAATCTTAGATGATGGTTGAAAACTTGACGGTTTCGTTTTAAATAGCTGTTCAAAATACCTTATAGCAAAAATGATTCAAACTAGTCAATATTCTCTTTTCTTTATAGATAATTCTGAATCTGAAAAATGTTTGGTTTTTCTCATGACTTGATGGCTGTCCGAGGGAAATACCTTACAACTAGCTGTCACACCTCATTCATTCATTCAGCAGTACGACTTCGTCCTCAGACTTTTAGTTGCTGCTTTTAGTCTCACTGTTCCCCAATCGACCTATGTGGCATGGTAAAACCTAAAGTAACATATGTTCCAGACAGCATTCCTCGGTCGGATCATCAAGATAAGCAATTCCGACCATCATGTTAGAGTATCAGCTACAGTAAGGACACAACAAACATTTTAAACATGAGTCCAATTAGTCTTGTAGTGCAAGGATAATTATTTAAGTGTATTTTTGAACAAGATATGTGAGTTATATAACAAGAAATAATTTTTTGATTGACTTATCAAAGAGACTTCCAGTGAAATCTGTTCTGTTTGGCATTGGATAGGGTCACTAACCGAATATCCGACTCCTCGAGTTCAACCTAGCTTGGGACTAACAGTAACCGTAGAAGGGTTTCAGGAGAAGTTTACTAAGAACTTACATCTATAGAAAATAACTTACGAATACAGGGTAGCAGAAATCTTAAAAAAATACACAATATTATCAAAATATCATGTTCAAACCGTATAGAGTTGTGGAAATTGTTAGGTTTCATTGAATTCATAAACCAATCAATGTTAGACCATCATTTGAAATTTTAATTCACTGGTAAGCTGCTACTTCCTAATACAGGACTCATAATTATCATGCATCCACGGACCTGCAAGCAGGATTCAAACCCAGGACCTTCAGTTTTGTGCGTGAACGCTTAATTTCTTTACCAATGAACCGAAATTGACTATCATAAGCTTACTATTGACTTGCTCCAAGAAGGAAGTCTCGTAGTCCTAGTAAGAAACAATAACCAGTGGAGTTCAGTCGTGGCTTGTGTGACACAGTTACGGACTGAAAATAATCCGTGATGGCCGAGAAATATCGTGGATCGATTTGTGTTAGACATTAAGACGATTTGGCCATAAGGTTAGGCGATTCCGTGCGAGTTCCGTTACGGTTTAAAGGGCCCATGATATGTACTGCTAATAAGTAATATACTGGAAAAAAACGACCGTCCAGTACTTTCAGGTTTCAAAGGGTACTATGACATGGATCCAGTCAGAATTTCAATGGCGCGTAACAGCTGCCATTTGATCCTACCTACTACATCAGTCTGATAAACCACAATTTTGTTATTTACAGATTATGGAGAAAATTCGTAGCTCACGTGGATGATGTTGGTGAAATTTCGTTCTCGGAACTCAAAGAACGAAAACCTAGCACAATTTTGTTATCCCTATTGCTTATTATATCGTTAAAATCTCAAGATTCAATAACGCAAAAAAATAGTGATCAACATCTTAATTACTTGCAGTACAACCAGTTCAACATTCGATCTTCATTTATAAAAAAATGTCAAATCTAATTGAATTCAAGCGATTAGCTTATTCGAAATATTAGAAAACGATAAAATAAATTCATCAGAATGCGTTTTTTTTTAATTCAAGATGTGATAATCTATCTATTTTGAAATTGTTTAAAATAGATTAAGTGTTCAACTGTCGATCACAAATAAATCTCTATGATATCACAGTTCTGTCAAACAACTTATTGTCCAGTATGTAGTGATCATTGGTGAACGACTTGGTTAACCTGAACTCATACTGCAAGCTAGCTGTGACGTAATCACGTACTCACGCCTGTGGCATCTCGTGGAGCATAGGCCACTGACCAACATTCTTCAGTCTGCTCGATCCTGAGCCTTCCTTTCGAACTCTGCACAAGTGATGTCCATTTCCTTTTATACATGTTTCCGGTTCTCAGCGTAATGTGTTCTTTTTGTTTAAGCTTTAAGGATTCTAATTTCGAACGTGCCTTTTGATACAGTTGGATGCATTGCATTGCTCAATGTATGTCTTATCCAACTCTGGCGATTTTTTTCAATTTCTTACTGAAGCTATCTTGTCAGTGTATCCTAAATATTTGCATAGACAACTGTTAATGTATGCTTACATCTTTTGAATAGTGATTCGCGTAGTTTTGCACGTTTCCGCTCCATACAATAAAACTATCTTGACATTCGTATTGAAAAATCGTACTTCGGTGTGAGTTGGCATTTGAAAATACTGACACATCCATAATTACTTACTTACTTATTAACTTATTTAGACCTGTCACCTAATGGAGCATAGGCCACCGACCAGCATCATTTTTTTGCTGGTTAACATTTTTCTTGCGGGATTTGGTCGCTAACCTCGCACCCAACCCTCCTTCCTTATCCGTCAGGCTTATTAGGAGCGTCATTAACCCCTGAAGGACTTCCAGAAGGAGTTATACATCCATGAAGAATTCACACTATGAGCAAATCTCACATAACTTTTGGCCTTGAAGATTTCAAGGCAGGTCTTGACTTGTGATACAGTTTAGTGAACTCCTCAATATGTATCCTATCCAATTACAGCGATAATTCTTCATTTCTTACTCTGCTTCAATCTAGTTCAATCTCTGCTACAGCAGATTATTAATGATAATGTCTGATAAACACACGCATGTATCTTTGAGATGGTGATTTTGATAATTTTCCAAGTTTTGGTTGTATAGAGTAAGTAGAACTGTCTTGATATTCGGACTTCAGTGATGGATGGCTGACAGTTGAAAATGATGACTCACATACACACATAACTAACTACATGAGTCTGTCACCTAAATAGAGCATAGTCCGCCAACCAGCATCATTTTTTATCTCTGGTTAACATTTTTCTGGCGGAATGAGGTCGCTAACCTCGCGTACAACCCGCCAGTAGCCCTGTGGCGTGAGCTAATTATAAGTAGTATATGATGTGATTGTCAACGTTTGCAAATGAACGATTTACTGTATGGTTTTCCGATTTTACTGAGTAACTCTGTAATTTTCGTTAAATACAA